TGGCATTGGGGAACTCCCTGGAACCAACCCCCCCCCCCCCAGGGATTGACCACTTGATACAGGTGAACTTCCCCCTCAAGGGGAAGTTCAATTAAGCTTTGCCTAAGATCCTACAAGCACCTGAGATGGGTGTGACTTGCTGAGATGTCAATCAACCTGCTGAATGTAAGACATCAGGAAGCAAGACTCCTGCCTTTGATGTACCCCTCTTAAATAAATCACCAGAACCATCTTTTCTTTGTCTAGTTCCAGCACTCATGTGGACTAGACTGGACTAGATCTATCAGGGGCTTCGCTGTTTGTAAATATATTTCTGAGTGTGTTTTATTATTTGTTAATTATTAAGATTTCGTGTGGCTTGGACTCGTCCGGGCAGTAACAAGACACTGGTCGTCTTTGATCCGAAACTAAACCTTATAGTTCTTGTGTAGCTCTAAAGCCAAAATCAATTTGCAAATGAAATGCAAACAAGACAACCCAACTAGTGCAATTCAAATTACAAACATTAATTTATTGAGAGGGAGGCTATTTTGCTGAAACTTCACTGCTCCTTGAAATGGTTACTCAGCTGACTGCATGCTAAGCCCTTTTGGCTTAACTAAAACCCTGTGATGACTCAGTTCTCCATCCCTTTTCCATTTGATCTACATGCTGCAAACCTCCATTCATACCACTATGTCAGTTGGCCTCAAGTTGATCCCAAAGGGGTTATTATGAGCTAAATCCACTTCTATCCTCTTCCCTTTAGCAGGTGGCAATTAAAGCAGTTCTTTCTGGAATGAGTGCAATGATAAATTCATCCAGGCCTTTTACACTACTTTGATTTTAAGGTGATCATCCAATGATATACATATACTGTGTTATTTTTTTAATAGATTATCCTGAAAAGGAAAACAGAAACTTATTAAATTCTTAGAAAGAGTATTCAGGCCCTGGGAATATCTACAAAGTTATCTGGGATCATGAATCCTGCCCCATGGGGAACTGGGAGCTCTGTATATAGAAAGTACTAAAACACTTCTTGAATTTCTTTGTTAATAGAACAAGTTCAGTATCATCTCGGGATCTTGTGTTGTTATTATTTGGAAAATGAAAATATCAAAACATGGCCTTGAACTTTGGTCTGGCTCTTCTGGGGTTATAACCAGATCAGTTTGTTCTGTGGACTATGTGAGTATGTTAGAAAGTAGGTGATTAGGCACTTGGAGAGTCTAGACACATTCTCTTCCTCTCCCCACCCTAATTTATAATTGGAACAGTGTGGTGTACAGTTTCTAGAGAATACGTTCTGTATAGGGTAAGAACATAGACTCCAAAGTCCAAATATCCAGACTTAAGATCTGGCTTAACCACTTGTTAGGTGTGTCACTTTGGACAAATACTTATTCTCATTTTTCTTATCTATAAAATAGAAGTAATAATAGAATCTTCTCCAAGTTGTTATAAGGGGTATGTATTAATACATACGATGCTCTTGGCACAATATCTGACACAGAGGGAGTGCTTTGTAAGTGTGATTTCTACGACTTTGTTTTTACTGACAGTGAGTTGTCAGTGTTACAGAAGCAGCACGGGAATTGGTGGACAAATCAGTTTTGCCTGCCTGTTCTGGTTTTTGGAAACCCAGAAAGTCCTGAGAATCATGAATTGTCTCAAATCTCAAAAGGTTTTTATTGCTGAATAATATTCTATTGTTGGATAGATCAACAATTTATTCATTCACCTACTGAGGGAATCTTGGTTGCTTCAACTTTTTGCAGTTACGACTAAAACTGTTGTAAATGTTTGCATACGGTTTTTGCTTAGACATGCATTTTCACATCCATTGGATAGACAACTAGGAGTGCAGTTGCTATATCACATGATAAGATTAAATTTAATTTTGTAAGAATACTAGTGTGGAAACTTTTCAAAGCTCTTATTCCCCAAACATCTGACTCCCAGCTTTTCCTCTCTGGCTTTTGGCAGGTCAATTGTTTGCCTCAATCAATCTCCTTTGCCCCAGGCTGCAATGGCTGGTCCATTTGCTTGTAATGGTTTCAACAAATGCCCTTCTCAAGCCAATCTATGTTCTGAGAAGGTTCCAAGTTAGGCAACATAAAGGCAAGACCTTCCTGTCAGACCTTCAGGAAGCCACTGACAGGTCATCCAGCCTCAGTTCTTTGAGAACAGAATCCTCTGTTCCAGCACCCATACCAGACATATGGGCCATATCTTTAGGACCGTTACTAAGACAGGGAATGGGGATAGAGCCAGGGTAAGCTAAAGTGCCCAAAGCTCTCCTGCCAGGCTCCAATCACCTTTTTCTTAATAAGGGCTCATTTGGTGGCTGTAAACCTTTGACAGTTTGCCAGAGTTTTGATAAAATTAAATTTTTGTTGTTGTTTCTCTGGTGGGATAGATGGTTAAATCTTTGTATTTGTTTGTTTTGAGATGGGATTTGTATGTTGCCCAGACTGATTTTAAACTCCTGGGCTCCAGGAATTCCCCCTCCTTAGTCTCCCAAGCACTGGGACTGCAGGCTCATGCTGCTGTGCATGGCCTACTCATTTCATTTCTTATAGGTGTATTCAGTTATTTTCCTTTGGTATTTTTTTTTTTTTGAGTCCGTTTTTAGTCACTTATATCTTTGTAGGAATTTACTCATTTTATCTATGTTCTGGAATTTGTTGTATCTACTTTGGATAACTAAGTTTAACTTATTTATGTAACATATCTAATTTGTTAATAAGTTACCTAAATATAATTATTTATAGTATTATTTCATAATTCTTTTTATTTTTGTAAGGTCATTTTTATGTCCCCTCCTTAATTGCTAAATTTTAGTTTGTGTCTTTTCTCCCTTTTTATTTTTCCTTCAGTATGTTAAGACAAATCTTGCTCCCCACCCCCACTATTTAGATAAAATTCTACTAGTTTACATATCATGTAGTTTTTTTCTTTCCTCTTAGTAATTACACTCAGATTCTTTTATTGTGCAAACTTAAAGTATGATGGTAATCATCTCTTTTTTCTATCAATTCTTTGTCTTTTTCTCTTTTGGTACTGGGGATGGAACCTAGGGTCTTGTGCATGCTAAGCACATGCCTACCCCCTGAGCTACACCTCTACCTTTTTTCTACCTCTACCCTGAGCTACACCTCTTTCTTTTTTTTTCCAAATAATTCAAACCCTTCACTCAGGTCTATTAGTGCACCCTCAGGCCATGTCTGTGAATGTCTGTAATGCCCCCTCCCTGATGAGTGCTGGCTTTCCTGTGTATCAAGCTCTGTGCTGACTCATGTTGTCTTGCTTTGTTGAGAGCATCTTCTTGCCTAGCTGCATTGCTTTTAACAAGCTTGCCATCAAGCTAATTGTCATCCATTTGGAGGCTGCCAGTCTCTTTTTTGTGGCAGACTTGAGGGCTTGCTCTTTGTCTTTGGTGTTCTGCAGTTCTGCTGCTGTGACATCATGGAGTGGATACAGTTGTGTTTATCCTGCCATCACCTTGAAACACTTGGTCATTACTTATCATGAACCTTTAAGTCTGGATTTGTGTGTTTCTGCAGTTCTAAAAACTCTCCCACTACTGTCTTTTGAAAGATTCAATTTCTCCTTCATTCACTTTCTTTCTTCCCTTTGGGACTCCATTAGGTCTATGTTAGACTTTTGAGTTTGCTTCTCCTTTCATACATTTTCTCAATTTTTTGTTTCTTCATTTTTCTGCACTGAATTCTAGGAGGATTTTTTCAGATTGCCCTGCCTATTCATCGTTTCTGTCATCAGCATGGTTTAATCTTTTGTTTGACACTTCCAGTGAGTTTTTAATTTAAATGTCTTTCATTTATAGAAGTTTCTTTTAAAAATGTTTGTTCTTGTCCTATAACGACATGTTCTTTTCTTATCCCAGTTTTTTCATCTCCCATTATTCTGTAGTTTTCTAGTACTTGGGGGGCATCTACTGGCTTGTGAGTAGAGCTTTTCATTTACTTAGTTTTCCTATAGGCTCTTCAAGAATCCCAGGGCTTCATTTTCTGTGAGCTGAAGGCTCAAAGTTTTCTTTTCCCATATATCTATTATAACCCCAAGTTCCAGCTCCCAGGGTAGTATTCTTTAATAGAAATATGAGTCATGTATAATTTTAAAATATTCTATAAGGCACATTAAAAATTAAAGGAAATGGGCTGGGGTTGTAGCTCAGTGGTAGAGTGCTTGCCTAGCATGTGTGAGGCAATAGGTTTGATCCTTAGCACTACGTAAAAATAAATAGATAGATAGATAGGTATAGGTATTGTGTCCATTTGCAACTAAAATATTTTTTTACAAAAGGAAGCAGATAAAGTTTATTTAGTAACATATTTAGCCCATGCCTCTAAAATATTGTCATTTCAACATTTATTCTATATAAAAACCTACTCAATTTACGTTGTTTTTGTGTTCAGTCTTACCAGTTCAAGTTGTATTTTACCCTCATACCATGTCTCCATTGGGCCAGTCACATTCAGGTGCCTCCTGGCCTCATAGGATTAGTGGCTGTTATAGTAGACAGTGCAGCTCCGGGCCTCCTACCTGGGTCTGAGTTCTCCTTGGGCTAACCTCTGGCTTCGAGTTTTCTTCTTGTTGGCATTGGGGTTTTACTTAACTGTCTTTTGAGCTTGGCTATGCCTTAAAAATTGTCTTTTGTCACATTTCTACGTGCTTATAGCTGGAGGAAGAAGTCCATTCAGTTCACCTTGTGGTAGAAACCTTTTCATGATCCTTTTCTTTGCCTCATTTACACAAGGAAACAGAAGCTCCCGGAGCTCCAGTGACTTGCCTAAGGTCAGGTGGCTGTTAGGTGACTGAAATCAGACTTGTTTCGCCTGTTCCTGTTTAAATTCCAAGTTTGTGCTCTACCCACCATGCTGTATTGCCACCTCTTAATTTTGGTTCCTCCTTCTTCATTTTCAGGAATTAGCTGCTATCAAGGGCTCTGTCCTTTCTCTTTACACGGCCTTGCTCCTCTGGAGAGTGATTCTTGGCCAAGAGCTGGGAGCGAAGAACCATGGACCAGTACAGCCTTGGGGACGAGGGTGCCCTTCCATCAGAAATGCACCTGTCTTCATTTTCAGAGAGCCAAGGGCTCAACTGCAGTGATACCCTCAACCGGGATCTGGGTCCCAGCACACGAGACCTGCTCTATGCTGGCCTGAGTGGTTTAGACCTGGACCCCAGTCTCCCAGCACCTGACATGCCCAGTGAGGTACTGGAGGACAACTTAGATGCCCTGTCCCTGTACTCAGGGAAGGACAGTGATTCAGTGAAGCTGCTGGAGGAATATGCAGATCCGGAATCTCAGACTTCCTTACAAGGTGAGGCTGTCCACTTGGGCGGAAGGGCCTGGCGGAATAGTTGACAGTTCCTGCAACCAGCTAGGGATTGAATCGGCATGGATTGGTTAAGAAAAATTTCCTCTTTACAAGTGACTTAGGGAAAAGTTTCTTTATTTCCCCTATTTTGGATTTGTTACCAACTTCCTAGTAAAGGAAACAGAACACTAATCCAAGGGAATAATATTGAGAACACAGATGTTTGGAGATACCCTAATCTTTTGCTGGTATGTGGAAAGACCTTAAGGTTTACAACTTTCCTATCATTACCATATCTCAAGGGCTCTTTTCATTTTTCCAGATTGAACTTGGGTCCTGTTCAATTCTGCTTCTTGGTTGTCTAACTTTCTTAGGCTTCACTGACTTCATCCATAAAATAGGGGGATAGTAATATTCCCCCTGCTTCCCTGCAGAATAAGAACAGTAAGAAGCAAAAGAAGAAACAGTTGTAAAAAGCACTTTTTTCACCATAAAGCACTAGACAGAGATTGGGTTTTTTTGTTTGTTCATTTATTTTGGTTTTTTAAAAATATTTTTTAGTTGTAGTTAGACATAGCACATGCTAGGCGAGCACTCTACTGCTGAGCCCCAGCCCCAGCCCCCATTTACTTTGTTTTTTAAGGGAGTCTTTTTAAAATTACTTTTAGCTGTAGATGGACATAATATCTTTTTTTTTAAATTTTTTTATGTGGTGCTGAGAATTGAAGCCAGTGCCTCACACATGCTAGGTTAGCGCTCTACCACTGAGCCACAACCCCAGCCCCAAGATAAAGAGTCTTGCTGTGTTGCCCAACACTCCCAGACTCAAGCAATACTCCTGCCCCAGCCTCCTGAGTAGCTGAGACTCTTCCTGTGTCACCAAGCCTGGAGATGCATAACTGTGTATACACATGTCCACATGTACATACGTATACGTACACACCAATACAGTGATATTTAATTGTAAATAGACCCTTGATTTAGTTCTAAACCTTTCTCTTCAGTAATGGAGGAACAAAAGGAGAGCTAATGAAATAATTAAATAACTTGGTTTGCCTTTAGGCTTCCCTTACAAGATAAATTCATTTGTTTTTTTGTTTTTGTCTCTCTTCATCATTTCCTGGGTAAGTTGTTTAAATGAGTTGACTGAGCTAGAGTTTTGGGACATTTATAATTACACCTTGTGTATCTGAAATGTCCTGCAAAGCAAATGTTAATCTTAACTGGGATAAATAGCTCAAGAAGTGCTCTTGCGAAATGAAAGCTGAGGGCTCTGGCTCCACAGAAGATATAGTAGACAGATGATACCCTTGCCACTTTGTGGCCACAGTGACAGAGTCATGAGGTATCATACAGGACAGGGCAGCTGCAGAACTGCAGGCACTGGGCCTGGCGGGAGCCAGTGGTTAGGATTCTCAGCCTGGGTCACCTGGACATTACATGGAAAATGCTGGAGCATAGCATATGTGTATATTTTGCTGGGAAGACATACTAACGTTCGTCAGATATTCACAAGGTCTATATAAATGATTAATCTAATTCAACCTTCCCTGAATTTGCTTTACATGTGAACTTTTTTTTAACTTTATAGAAAAGGAATCCACTGAATATTAAACTTCAAGTCTTTATAATTCTCTCCCATAAATTCAGGTCCCTATAAATGCATAGGCTTATTTTAATTTCTTCTCATTCTCTTGCACTCTCTTTTGGTACCAGGGATTGAATGCAGGGGCACTTTACCCACTAAACCACATCCCCAGCCCTTTTTTTGTATTTTATTTAGACAGAGGGTCCCACTGAGTTGCTTAGCACCTTGAGTGTGGAGGTTGACTTTGAACTTGTGATCCTCCTGCCTCAGCTTCCTGAGCCACTGGGATTACAGGTGTGCACCACCATTATGGGCCTCTCTTTTTCTTTTTTGAGATGGGATTTCACTGTTTGTTGCCCAGGCTGGCCTTAAACTCCTGTCTCAGCCTCCTAGGCATTAACCAGAATATATTAATTGAGACCAGAATACAATAATTATTTTAATTAGAAAAATAATATGTATTTATTAGAGAAGACTTAGAAAACAAAGAAAAGAAGTGAACAAGAAGTCTCCACCCTGGCTTCCATACATAACCCTTTAAGTGCACGGGTGAAGTTGCTCAGCCATACATCGATTTTTGGTTTGGGTTTTTGGTGGTGGTGGTGGTGGTGGTGGTGGTTGTTTATCTGTTTTTTGCAGTACTGGGGATGGAATCCAGGGCCTCACACGTGTTAGGCAGCACTCTACCACTGAGCCACACCATAACCCTATATACATAGTTTTATAGTGTTAATATTAAGTTCCTAGAGAGAAGAGGATTAAGCTCAGTAGGAGAGTGCTTAGTCCCTGGTTTCCATTCTCAGTGCTGAAAAAACACGTAGTTTTGTTTGAAGCTTTAAAACAAACTTAAGGGCTGGGGCAGTAGCCCAGTGGTAGAGTATTTGGCCTAGCACAAGTGAGGGTTTGATCCTCAGCACCACATAAAAATTTTAGTAAATAAATTTGTTTAAAAAGTTGTTAATAGATTAAAAAAAACAAACTCAAGTGTATTTGTTTTAATATGTGAAGGTAGACAGTACAACTTATTGTAACTATTCCATTGAATTATTAGACCACATTCTTGTTACACTGTTAAAGTCTTTGAACAACTTTGTACATATTGGATTTTCTGTTGGATTAGTTCTTTGAACATTTTTCTCAGATAGAGCATATGAACGATTTTGAGCTTTATAACACTGCTTTCTAGAAAGTTCAAGTGGCTTCTCAGGCCAGTGACTCTGTTTGCCTAATTTTCAACATCCTTCCAATTTTTTACAACATTTTGGTTTTTTGTTTAACATTTGCTTTAAGGAGCATTTAAACTAACTCACCAAGGCTGAATGAAGACTATATCCAAAGGGAGTCTGATTTGTCCTTATTTAAACTGGTGGAATTATTCAGCTACTTAGCACAGTATTCCTTTATTTCTTTTATTTAATGTCAGAAAATGAAGGTAACTGAATACAGTTTTGTTTCTTTTTCTTTATTTCTTTGTTCTTGGTACTGGCAATTGAACTCAGGGGTGTTTAGCCACTGAACCACATCCCCAGCCTTTATTTTATTCTGAGATAGGGTCTCGCTAAGTTGCCAAAGCTGGTCTCAAATTTGCAACCCTTCTATCTTGGCCTCCCCAGTTGTAGGGATTACAGGTGTGTGCCACTGTGCCTGACTTCACACAGTATTTTCTCATATGAAGAAGATGAAGGCCAGGCAAATTAAGAGACAAATGGTCTAAGGCCACAAGCAGAGCTGGAACGAGAGTCCAGTTTCCTTTCTGCATGTCTGCCAGCCTCAGACATTCTGCATTTTGGATTCTTTAGTGCAACTCTCTTCCTTCCCCAATCACTGTGCTACAGTCGCTAGATTCTTGGATCTCGTCTCTGTAACCTCCCCAATAAATGGATATTTCTAAACTTTCCATCTTGTAGGATGGTGTAATCCATTTTGTAGGACAATCTAATGGTTAGAAACATCTTCCATTATGTATTCATTTAACATTTATTGAGGGGCTGGGATGTGGCTCAAGCGGTAGCGCGCTCGCCTGGCATGCGTGCGGCCCGGGTTCGATCCTCAGCACCACATACAAACAAAGATGTTGTGTCCGCCAAATACTAAAAGATAAAAATATTAAAAAATTCTCTCTCTCTCTCTACCTCTATCTCTCTCACTCTCTCTTTAAAAAAAAAAAAAAAAAAAAAAAAAAAAAAAAAAAAAACATTTATTGAGTGTTTGCTAGTGCTAGGATGCTAATTCCAGGATCTGGGAACAAAGCAATGAGCTGGACAGTCCTTGTATCCATGGCCCATTGTTTGTACTGGTCTATAATCAGCTTACCTTTAATCTTCATTCACTGAGCCTAGTTCTGTCCCTTAGAACAAGAGAGAAGCTCCCTCCTTCCCTCCTCCACATACTGGCCCTTCCTATACTTGACACCTCTCCTACTTGAGTATTCCCAGTTCCTTCAGGTTTTCTTTAGGTGACATGATTAATAAAAGTACCTTCTTTCATTTTACTCCAAAGATACAGAAAACATGGGAAATCCAGACACACAAACAGAGGAAATAGAACTGACCCATCCTGGGCTGGGTCAGTTGGTAGGGTGCGCTGCATGCACAAGGCCCTGGTTTCAATCCCTAGCACCACAACAAACAAACAAAAAACCCTGACCCATCCTAACAGTTAGTCTATTCTCTCAATTTCTCTTCAAATATATTTTTGTTTTAACAGCCAGGGCAATTTTGTTTTGCAGTAGGCTGCTTTTTTTTAGTAGTGTAGCACAAACAGCCTTGCATCAGATTTTTCTAAGTTTTATTGGAAAAGCTTTTTTCACACAGCATTAAAACCATAAAACAGTCATCTACGTGCCCTTTTGTCAATTATCGGGTTTTTTAAAAAAAAAACAAAAAAACAGTTTTCCAGGAAAAGCAGTGGTTCAGTTAATTCCCTTACAGCTAGACCTTTGCAGAAAGCTATGTTTAAAGTTAAAAACCCAGCTGTGCATGGTGGCACACACCTGTAATTCCAGTGATTTGGGAGGCTGAGGTGGGAGTTCCCAGCTAGCATTGGCAACTTAGTGAGACCCTGTCTCCCCCCCCCAAAAAAAGGGGCGTAGTGCTGGGGATGTAGTTCGCTGGTAGAGTACCTTTGAGTTCAATCCCCAGTTCTTCCAAAGAGAAAATTAAAAACCCAGAAGCAGAATTGGCTGAGTGCAAAATTTTGTACTTTCCCAAGATTTTGGATTGCATGTTTCTAGGTTGCCCTTCTGTGAATACCAGGTGATGGTATAGTCCTCAAGCCATGCCTTTCTTGGTCACACTGTCCCTGAGAGTTTCATCCTGTCACTATCCCTGTCCCTCCACATGTGCACCAAAACTGGGCAAGTCCTGCAAGTGTGGCCTGACCAGGGGCCCTGCTCCCCTCGCCTGATCCTGAGCCTTGTTTTCTGCACACACAAAGCTGATGACATTGGAGTGAGCATCTTAGGGGACTTGCGAGGCCAGCACGGGCTGAGTGTTAGAGTGCTTTAGTGGTGCTCTCTGATTTCCCCAGCTGTATATAACCTGTGCTTTCTCCCTCTGTCTAGACCTGGGGCTAGGCGCACTTAAGGTGCCCAGAGAGGCTGACGAAGGAGGCAGGGCCACCTCGGGGAGTGCAAGGAAAGGAAAGCGACAGCACAGTTCCCCTCAAAATCCGCTTCTGGACTGCAGCCTCTGTGGGAAGGTGTTCAGCAGCGCCAGTTCTCTTAGCAAGCACTACCTGACGCACAGCCAGGAAAGGAAACACGTTTGCAAAATCTGCAGCAAGGCCTTTAAGCGTCAGGACCACCTGTATGTAGGAGTCTGGTCAGGAAATGCTGTTCAGGGGTGCGGGGGTGGGCATGCTCCTGCCTTTTTTCCATCCCTCCCAGATCAACCTACCAGTCCTCTATTGGGTTTTCCCACTTCCTGATTCTCCAGATGTGTATCACCTGTGCTGTGGTGGGCATGGACTCGTTCTCCTCACACTTCCAGTGTCCCAGGGCAGGCCTGGCTCTGCCCCAGACAGGTTGCTTTTCAAAGCCTCCAGATTACACCAGTGAGGAAATCATTGCCTTGAGTTGTAGATGGGACCCTAGTGGTTTAAAAATGCTCCCTCCCAAAGCAATTGTGTCTTGGAAGAGTTTGGCTAACTTATTAGAGAAATGTCCCGACTCCCTGGTAGGTGTCTGAGGACAGTGTTCAATTCTGAAGATGGTAAAGGAGCATTAACCTCTGTTTTTCTTACTTTTAAAAACTCTTGATTTGAAAAAAAAATGTTTTAAAAAAGAAAACCCAACTTAAGAGTTAGAAGCAGAATTCACTGTTTTTAACATTTTAGGAATAATAAACTTTTCTTGCCTATAAGGAAGGAAAAGAGAGTGCTTTCAAACTAAGAGGATTGCAAGTGGGAGAGGACAACACATTGCATTTTTACAGTGCAGAGGGCTTCGGTGAATCTAACTTCCATTTTGTCCTCTGGCCCAGCCCCACCCAAGGGAATGGAAGTAATCTGATCATACCACAAGTTGGTTACAGGGCTACAACTTAGGTTTTCTGATTACTTCTCTGGTTGCTTTCCTCAGAAGGCTAACTAACCTCTGGGGAGAAGTTTAGTCACTGGACATCCCCCGTGGTCATGTGCACTAGGGCTATCTAGAGCAGCACTGTCGGGACCCCAGAGGGTGATCTACTCATGTGTTTGTAAAATATTAATAGAGATGTAGGTATGAGGTAAATATAATACATATTTGTATGCATTCACACTTGGAGACATTATAGGCACATTTGGTTGGTTTGCGCTAGAGAATTTTTATTGATTGGGTATCTGCAAATTGATTTCTTTGCTGTGGGGTATTCTAAGTATCTGTCTCTACAGAAAATCTTATGGTAAGGAGCAGACTCCTTTGTTGCAGTAAGGATAATCCCTTGGCATCTCCTCAAAAGTATTCTGTGGAATTCTGCTTCTCAGGAGTGTTAATAGGCTATTTGAATAACAAAGTTTCTGTGGGCAAATGAGAGATGCTGAAGTTAAACAGTGCCTCCCTTTAAATTTGGCCCTGTGCCTATGAACCTTCAAAGAATGAATAGTTGTTCCCCCACCCCAAAATTGCCAAATGTGTCCAAGCCCTCAGGGGTCATTTCTGAAGGACTGATGTTCCTTGAGAACCCACTTTGGGGAAGTCTGATCTGGCTCCAAAGGACTTTTTTTCTCAGATAAGGGACTTCCTTAAAGGTGAGGGTGAGGTGGGCCCTTTCCAGATTGCTTTGACAGAGCAGGGAGGCTTTGTGGTCTTTCCTCAAGTGCCAAATACCTTTTATGAGTTGTGGTACAGATGCACCAAAGACACTCAGGGCCACTGGGGTCCTGCAGAGGTAGGCTGGATCCCAGGCACCCACTGACCTCCCTTTTTATGTCTGACTCCAGGACTGGGCACATGCTCACCCATCAGAAGACCAAGCCCTTTGTGTGCATCGAGCAGGGCTGTAGCAAGAGCTACTGTGACTACCGCTCCCTGCGTCGACACTATGAGGTCCAGCATGGCCTGTGCATCCTGAAGGAGGCCCCCCCAGAAGAGGAAGCCTATGGGGACTCCCCACATGCCCATGACACGGCCAGCCAGCCTCCTCCCAGTGGCCTGCGGTCCCTGGGGCCCCCAGAAGCCAGATCCCCTGGCTCTGTCTTGCCTAACCGAGACCTCCTACGCTGTATTGTGAGCAGCATTGTCCACCAGAAAATCCCTTCTCCTGGCCCAGCCCCAGCGGGACCTTTGGATGGTGAAGGGAGGCACTCGGCCTGTCCCTGCCCCACCTCATCCGGGTCCTCCTGTACCCCAGCCAGCACCTCAGCAGCCTCAGGGACTCTGGGCACCGAGGTTCCTGAGGAGCCTCATCCCCCACAAAAGGAGTCAGCTCCTGAAATATTCACAGCCATCCATTCAAGAGCTACAGAAAATGGTGCTCCTGATCCACCGGAGTTGGAGTCACCCCTGCTTCAGCTCCCATCTTCCCTGGAGGGCTGGCCCGAGGGCAGCTCCCTGCCTGCCTGCCTGCCTCTCTTCAGAGGCCAGCCTGTCCCTGCCAGTTCCCAGTCATCAAGCCACAACTTCCAGTGGCTCCGGAACCTACCTGGCTGCCCTAAGAGCAAAAACAACAATATGTTTGTGGTCCACAAGCCCTCTGCAGCACCATCCCGAGAAGGCTCTGAGTCTGGCCCCAGACCTGGTAGCACCTCTACCCCAGTGGAACCCGCCCCCAGCATGGGCACCAGCCAAGAGGACACACCACCCTTTGCTTCTGCACTCCTGAAGGCACCCAGCGAGGCCCCAGGTGACCCCAGGTTTGGAGGTGGAGAAGAAGACAACTGGGCTTCGAAGAAGAGCAAGATTGACTGTGAGTCCTTCTCATGGCAAAGCCCCGGGGAGCCTGCTCTCCAGGATGTGCAGAACCCAGGTGGGCTCCCATCAGATGCCACACCACTCTTCCGGCAGCTGTTCCTGAAGTCACAGGAGTCTCTGGTGAGCCATGAGCAGATGCAGGTGTTCCAGATGATCACCAAGTCCCAGCGGATTTTCTCCCATGCCCAGGTGGCAGCAGCCTCCTCCCAGCACCCAGGGCCTGAGGGCAAGCAGGCTGCCCTGAAGTCACTGCAGGGGCCATGGCCACAGCAGCCCCCGCTACCAGCACCCACTGTGGACTCTCTCCAGGTGGGCCTTGGAAACCTGGAGCCAGAAGGATCCCCAGCCCGCAGGCGAAAAACCATGCCCTCAGTACCCAGAGAGGCCTCCCCTGGCAGCACAAGACGAGACACAAAGGGAGGACCAAAAATGGTCTCAGCTCCACCATCCCTCACAGCACAGTCTGTGGATCCTTCCCGGAATCCAGACATCTCTTCCAAGCAATTACGATCTTCCAAAGGGACCTTGGACCTGGGGGACATCTTTCCCACCACGGGCCCTCGGCAGACCCCTTTAGGTGGGGAGGAGCTGTCTGGAGTCCAGCTGTCTGGGAAGAAGGCCCCTGCTGAGAATGGTGTGGCTTCAGGGACTGTGAGAGGTGAGAAGGGCCCAGCCTGCTCCCGGGGCGGAGGCTACAGGCTCTTCTCAGGCAACCCCAGGGCCCAGCGCTTCTCAGGCTTCCGAAAGGAGAAGGTGAAGATGGATGTGTGCTGTGCAGCTTCCCCAAGCCAGGTGGCCATGGCCTCCTTCTCATCAACTGGGCCTCCTGTGGATCCCACCAGGGATGCAAAGTCCAAGCTGACAATATTCAACAGAATCCAGGTACACGATGCCTCTTTTGGGTGGGGGTGTTGATCACAGTGCAGGCAGAGTTTTGTTGAGTGCTTTAGCATTTGCTAGTTTCCAGCCATTTTATTTCATTTCAGTGAATCCTTAGATGTGATTTTACAGTAAATTCTTAGATGTGAGGAAGTTAAGGTTCAGAGAAATTGTGCTCACCCGCAAAAGAAGACCAGGACGAGGACAGTACAGAGTTTGTCCAAGGTCCTTTTTGTCATTTTGTGATTTCACTAAGCCTTTTTTGCTTCCTTTCTTCTGCCTCTCATTTTCTTTTGGATTTGCCTCCTTAAATTCTTCAGAGAGATAAAGGTAGAGACCCCCTGCCTTAAATACTTCGCATGGAATGCTAGGGTGGCTCAGTGCTGGAACCCTTGCCCAACATGCTGAGGCCCTAGGTCCATACCCAGCACCAATAAAATAAAATAAAGCAAAACCCCCCCAAAAGAAAACCACAAAAATTATTCTGGAATGGATGTATATTTTCTGACTGTGAATCATGGTTCCATCAAATACAAGCAAAACCTCTTGTGTCCCCTATGGTGATGAGCATAAGCCTAGCTCCTCTGTGCATGGCAACAAGGAGATCCTGCTCTGAGGCACTCAGCCACTTCTCTTAGTGACACCAGCATCCATCCCATCATCCTACAGCTGCCCCTTGTTTTTTACATCTTTATTTATCCAACTACCATACAATTTCCATTTTAAAGCATGCGATTTTGTAGTTATTAGTACATTTGTAAGGTTATGCAACCATCACCACTATTTGCCTGAAAATAAATCATGACCCCCCCCAAAAGAAATCCTGCAGTCATCAGGATTAATCATCACCCCTCATCTTTCCAGGCCCCGACAACCACAAATCTACTTTCTGTCTCTATGGACTTACATATTCTGGATATTTCCTATAAGTGGACTCATGCACTGAATGTGTGGCCCTTTGTAACTGCCTTCTTTGTGTTTCAAGGCTGTTCAGTCGTGTTTTCAAGGCTCATCCATGTTGTAGCATGTTGTAGTGCTTCATTCCTTTTTATGACTAAGCAATATCCCATTATCTAGACTGACTAGATTTTATTTAGTTATTCCTCAGTAGGTTGTTTGCACTTTTTGACTTTTGTGAATAAGCTGCTATGTAAAATTTTGTGTGTGGATACATGTTATCATTTCTCTTGGGTAAACACCTACTGGTGGAATTGCCAGGTCACATGGCAAGTCCATGTTTAATATTTGACTGTTTTTTCCAAAGCAGCTATACATTTTACGCCCCCTTCTTCCTTGCAGTCCATGAGAATTGCAGTTTTTCCATGTGCTCACCAACACTTGCTTTTGTCCTTTATGATGATGATCATCACCATCGTTGTGAGTGTGAAGTGGTATCTTATGGTTTTGATTTGCATTTCCCCGATGGCTAATGATGTTGAGTATTCTTCCACGTGCTTATTGGCTGCTTGTATATATTCTTAGAAGAAATATCTACTCAGATTCTTTGCTCATTCAAAATTGAATTACTATTTTATTATTAAATCCTAAGAGTTATTTATGTATTCTGGATGTAAGCCCTTTATCAGATTCATGAGTTGCAAATATTTGCCCCCGTTTTGCAAATTAACTTTTTTTTTTTATTTGTGACATTGTTTGAAGGACAGAAGTTTTCAGTTTTAGTGAAGTCCAGTTTGTCTGTTTGGTCTTCTGTTTTACTTTGGAATCATACCTAAAACCATTGGTTAATCCAGTGTCACAGAGACTCACACCAGCATTGTCCTCTGAGGGTCTCACAGTTTCCACTCTTCTATTCCTGCTTATCTCTGCTGTGTTGGCTCATGTACATTTTCATTCTCAGGGTGGAAACATCTATAGGCTCCCCCAGCCCATGAAGGAAGAGAGCACAGCAGGTGGATGGTAAGTTGCCAAGCCTCCAGCCCTGCCTGGCGCTGCCCCTGGGGGGAGTCCCCCGTGGTTTTCTGTACTGGCTCTGGTGAATGAGCTGGATGCCTTTGTCCTAAGAAGGATGCTTCAGCCCATGGAGAACATGAATATCACCTCCTTTTTAGGGTTTATCGAGTGTTGTCAGTGGATTAGTTAAAAACAAAACAAAACAAACAAAAAAATCTGTGACCAAGAATGGAGTCCCATTCCCCTGTTCTTCCCTCCTGCCTTGTCTACCCACAGTAACCAGCAAAATGGAGGTCCCACAGACTGGACAGAGCCAAGGAGTACTTACATCTGCAAGAACTGCAGCCAGAAGTTTTATACCGAGAAAGGGCTGAGCAGCCACATGTGTTTCCACAGTGATCAGTGGCCTTCACCTCCGGGGAAGCAGGAGCAGCAGGTAAAGAGGCATGATCAGCGGCACCCGTGATTTCAGGGTCTGACAGGCTTCGGGGTGTGTTTTTCTCAGGTTGAAGGCTGCCCCTGGGAAATGTGGGTCAGGTCCAGCCATTCTGGACGCACTGTCACAGTAGGACAGCACGTCTCCTCAGCCTGGTCCTTACCCCTAGCCTCACTGCCTGGAATTCTGCGGCAGCTTTCTAGCTGTCCTCAGGAGCAGCTCTCAGTCTCCTGCTTGCTCTTTCTCTTAAAGAGCCATCATCTCTCCATGTTCAGGTGTTTGGCACAGAGTTTTGCAAGCCTCCAAGACAGGCGCTGAGGCCAGACAGGATCGGGCAGAGTTCCCCAGGAGCCAAGAAGCCCTTGGACCACATGGCCACAGCCCCTTTGGTGATCCCCGTGTCGGTCCCTGTGGCTCCAGCACCCTGCCCCCTGGGGAGCATGGCCAAGGTGGGTGCTTATCTGTCTACTTCTTCCCACTGCTTTTCCCACCTGTTGGTGGGAGCTGTGGGAAAAACACAAAACAAATGTTCCAAGGAGTCCTGACTCTAGAATTACTTGGTTTGCACATTCATTCAGTCATTGAGCATTCACTGAGCCCCTCTGTCAGTCCCAGTACTGGGCAGTTCTGGGTACCCAGCAGTGACCACAACAGCACAGGCCCTGTCTCATGGGGCTCCCAGTCCAGACAGGAATAGGCATCCCAGAGTTTGCAGGGCTGGGGGACTAAGAGGAGGCCCCTAACCCAGCCTGGGGAGATCAGGGAAGGTTTCCTGGAAGAGAGACGTTGGAGCTAGGACCTGGAGGAGGCGGAGGAGTGGGGCTGGCAGGGAAGAGGGCATTTCCCGAAGGTGAGGGTGAGTACTGTGAGTTGGAGCAGTGGTCTTGAGCCTGTACTGTAGGCCTGCACCTGGAGAAGCTCAAGTGGGACTCAGGGATAGGGTGACTGGACTCAAGGTCCCTTTAATCAATGACAATCCCATTGTTGGTGTCATAGGACCTGCTGTTATTTGAGTGGAATAATTTTTCATTTTTGTCACACCATCATTGCATCTCTGGCCACTTTTTTATTTTATTTTTTTGTGGTACTGGGGATGGAACCCAAGGTCTTACCCATGCTAGGCAAGCGCTCTTAACCTTGAGCTACATGCCTAGCCCCTGGCCTCCGTTCTCTCAAGTGCTAGGCATTTGAACCATGGACACTCTCTAAATGGATATGTGAAGCTGCAGCCTTGGGGTGTCACCAGGCCTGGCCTCTCGGCTCTGGCTCAGGCATGTCTGGGCAGTGCTTCAGCTTCCAGTGCTGTAGGGTTGGGTGTGGCTGTTCTGAGCATGGGAGTTCTATTGCCCTCTGTCTCCATGGACAGTTCCCTTTCCCACTCTTGTGTCACCCTGAATATTCCAACAGGTGGCCTCAAGTGACCTCTCGTGGTTCTGAATTCTCTTCTCCAGGGACAAGAGAAAGATGGGGAAGAGAGAGACAGTAAGGAGAGAAGCCAACATAGAAAGCGGAAGAAGCGCCCCCAGCCCAAGGCATTGTTCATCCCTCCTCCACCCTCTGCGTTTGGGGAGCTGGGCCCTGGGGGATGCCACCAGAGCTGTCTGCGGTCTCCTGTGTTCCTGGTGGACCACCTCCTGAAGGGCTTATTCCAGTGCTCCCCCTATACACCGCCTCCAATGCTCAGCCCCATCCGGGAGGGCTCCGGACTTTACTTCAGCACTCTCTGTTCCACGTCACAGGCTGGTCCCCACCAGCTCATCAGCTCTGTGCTTGGTGAGTGAGGCCAGAGTCCCCGCTTGCAGGGCACCACCTTTCTGCCTGCTTGCCTTTGTCTTTTTTTAAATAGTTTTATTGAGATATAATTCATGTACCATTCAGATCACCCATTTCAAACATGCAGTGTTTCTGAGGGCAGTCACAAGGTTGTGCACCCATTATACAGTTTCACATTAGAGCATTTTAATTATCCACAGAAGAAGCCTGTGCCCACTAGCAGTCATATCCCCTTCCCAGCTCACACCCTGGTAAGCCCATGCCCTTCCCCTAGTCCTGGGTAATCACTCATCTCTTTCCTGTCTCTATGGATTTACCTGTTGTGGATATTTCATATACAAGTATTCAGATGTCATGTGACCCTTGTGTCTAGTTTATTTTACTTAGTATGATGCTTCTAGGGTTCATCCATGTTGTTAGTGCTTCATTCCTTTTTATGGTTGATCGATAGAATATTGAATGAATGGACCACATTTTGCTTATCCATCTGTTGATTGGCTTTTGACTTGTTTTTACTTTTTGGCTATTGTGAATAATGCTGCTATGAACTTTGTGTACAACCTTTTGTGTGTATGAATGTTTCTGTTTTTCTTGGGTAGATACCTAGAGTACAATGCTGGATCACATGGTAGCTATTTAACTGTTTAAGGAACTACAAGACTATTTTCTGAAATGTTTGCACCACTTTGGATTCCCACCAGCAGTGTATGAGTTCTGATATCTCCACTTCCTTACAAACACTTGTTAAGGACTCTACCACTGAGCTACATCTACAGCCCTTTTTTATTTTATTTTTTGAGACAGGGACTTCCTAATTTGCTGAACTTGCAATCCTCCTGTCTTGAACTTGCAATTCTCCTGTCTCAACCTCCCAAGAAAGTGTGTGTCACTGTACCCAGGTTGGCCTGATTTTTTTTTTTTTAATTGTAACCATCCTAGTAGGCATAAAGTGGTATCTCATTGTTATGGGGTTTTGGGGGATTTTTTGGATTGGATGCAGGAGCGCTTCACCAGTAAGGTATATCCCAAGCCTTTTTTTAGATTAGTAATTTGACATTTTCCTTTTTAAAACTATAGACATAGCATAAATTTCCCTTTCCACACTGCTTTTAGCCACATTTCTTTAAGTTTTAAAATGTTGTATATTTGTTTTCTTTCCTGTCAATATTTTCTAATTTTTTAAAAATATTTAATTTTTAGCTGTAGTTGGACTCAATACCTTTATTTATTTATTTTTATGTGGTTCTGAGGATCAAACCCAGGGCCTCGCACGTGCTAGGTGAGCACTCTATGCTGAGCCACAACCCCAGCCCAATATTTTCTAATTTATCTTGAGATTTCTTTGGTGCATTGATTATTAGAGTATGCTATTAAATTTTTTATTTGTGAATATTTCTATATTTCTGGATTTTCTAAATTACCTTTTTCTATGATTTCTAAATTAATTCTGTTGTCGTCATAACAGATACTTGGTATGAATTCAAATGTATTGATGCGTATTTTATGGGCTGGGATGTGCACTATCCTGGAGAAGAATGTTCCATGTACATTTGAGAAGATGTCAATGGAATGCTTGGTCTAGGGTTTATGTTGGTCTAGGGTCTCGTATTTCCTGTTAATCTTCTCCCTAGTTATCCTGTCCATTATCAAAAGTATTGAAATCTACAGCTTTTTTTTTTTTTCAATAGAGAATTGAGCTCAGGTACCTTACATATGCTAAGCAAGTAAGGTACTGTGCTGCATCAATAACTCTTGAGTTCTACGTTTTTGTTTTTTCTTATTTTTGTTTTGGGAATTGAACCCAGGGGTGCTTTACCACCAAGTTACATCACTAAGCTACATCACTAGCCCTTTTTTTATTTTTTATTTTGAAACAGAGTATCACTAAGTCACTGAAGGTTTAGAAAAGTTGCTGAGGCTGGTTTGAATTTTATGTAGTTGATCTTTAAGTTAATTTTAAAAAATGAAATCCTCCTGCCTCACCCCTGAGTCACTGGGATTACAGGCATGTGGCACTGTGCCCTGCTGAATTCTTTATTAAATCCTTTGATACTGTCAGTTTTTGCTTCCTGTACTTTGGGGCTCTCTTTAGAGGTGTATATATGTTCGTTTATATATTTTTTCTGCAATACTGGGGATTGAACCCAGAGTCTCTATTTTGTTTATCTATCCATCTATTTATTTATGAGGTGCTGAGTATTGAACCCAGGGCTTCATGTGTGCTTAGCAAGTGCTCTACCACAGAGAGAGCAGGTGCTATTTCTTTACTCCACTACAGTTCTGCTCCTTTGTGCTGTTATTGCAACATAGATTAACATGTCTAGATGTTATTATTAGGTCCATAATACCTTTTTTTTTTCAATACTGTGGATTGAACCCAGGGTTCACACATGCTAGGCAAGCACTCTACCAGTGAGCCACATCCCAGACCTTTTTAAAAATATTATATTTTGAGACAGGGTCTCAGTAAATTGCCTAAGCTGACCTCAAACTTATGGTCCTCCTGCCTCAGTTCTCCTGGAGTAACTGGAATTACAGGGATGTGCCACTGTGCCCAGCTATTATCATATGTATTTTTAAAAAATATTTTTAGTTGTAGATGGACAATTTTGTTTATTTAGTTTTTTTATGTGGTGCTGGGGATCAAACCCAGTGCCTCATGCATGCTAGGCAAGTGCTCCACCACTGAGCCACAACCCCAGCCCTCATATGAATTTTTTATGTAGTTGATCTTTAAGTTAATTTTAAAAAATGAAGTTATACTACCTTTGTAATTTCCTACATGATTGCCTTTTCCAGCCCCCTTTTTTTGGTGTGGATTCCAATTACTTTCTGATGTCACCTACTTTCAGCCTGAAGATTTATCTTTAGTATTTATTTTTTAAAACAATAACTTTAGTGAGATATAATTCACATATGATTCATCCCTTTAAAGCACATACTTCAGTTAGTGTTTGCTTAAGAGTGGAATATAGATTTCTTTGAAGTTGTTAAATCCATCAGGTCTTTTACCTAATGGACAAATCAAGTTTAAAAATTCCTTTATATATCTTAGCTTGTTTTCTGGTGCTGTTGACCTGCAAGAGAACATATTTTTGCATATACAGGTGAATGTTTTGCAATTTATGTATGTAAAAAAATGTAGGCATTAAAAATATTTTATTGAAAAAAAGCACATACTTCAGTAGTTCTTAGCATATATACTGAGGTGTGCCACCTCGCCATAATCAGTTTTCAGACACATTTATCATAATCAGTTTTCAGACACACATTTCTAGAGAGAAAGTGCATTCTTAGCAGTCACTTCTTTCCTGGCCTCTTGCCTATCCTGGGCCAGTACTTATCTACCTTCTGCCTCTATAAATCTGGTATTCTGGATAGCTCATAGAGGTGGAGTCATGCAGTATGTGGTTCTTTGTGTCTAGCTGCTTTCGCTCAGTAAACTTTTAAGCTAAGTTTGCTAGCAACAGATTTTCTTAATTTTTAAAATCTAGGAATGTTTTTGTTTTACCTTCATTTTTAAAAGTTAACTTGCTGGACACAGGACTCTTGGTTGACAATCATCTTTAGCACATTGAGCATGTTTTTCCACTGCCTTCTCACCACCCTTGTTTCTGGTGATAAGTCAGTTGTTGGTCTTGCCAGTGTTCCTTTGATTGCCATGGGATTTTTTTTTTCTCATTTCACTTGCGATATTTTATCTTGACTTGCAACATTTTGCCTGAATGTAGACCTCTCTGTTCATCTATTTTGAGTTCATAGAGATTCTTCAACATGTATATTGTTTTTCGTCAACACTGGGAGGTTTTTGGCCATTATTTCTTTAAATATTTTTCTGTCCCTTTATTCTTTTCATCTGGTACTCTCGTCACACCTGGTTGCTGCACTAAATTGTGTCTCTTATTTCTCTGAGGCTCTTTTCACTTTTTCTTGTTGTTTCTTCTCTGTTCTTCAGTTGCATGAGGATCTGTGTTCAAGTTTGCTGATTACATCCTTCAACCACTTCAGACCTGTTGAGGCCTATTTTGGCTATTGTGCCTTTCAACCCCAGCATTTACATTATTAAAAAAATCTCTCAGTGGTATTCTTTGGTGAGAAATTGTCATTCTACCTTCTTCTACTTTTTTAAACGTGGGAGCTGCGGAGAGAGGTGGCCCCCATCTTGGCTACAGCTGCCTGGTGTGTAGCCCTTGGAGGAGCACTTCTCCACGCGTGGCGCTGGTTGTGGCTCAAATGCCACATACTTTCATTCTTCCCCAGATTTAGTCAGTCATGAGTATTTCTGTAGACACTATATGTCCTTAGGACAATTTCCAGAGACTTTAACTTACTGTCTTAGTATCTTTTGTGATTTTCATCTATTAGTTTGTTGTTTGCTAAGTTCCCTCCTCTTTTTTGAAAATCCTTCCACTCCTGTGGAATCTCTTTTTTTAAGTTTTTTTTTTTTTTTAGTTGTAGATAGAGACAATACCTCCATTTTATTTATTTATTTTTATGTGGTACTGGGGATCGAACCCAGTGCCTCACATGTGCTAGGCGAGTGCTCTACCACTGAGCCACAGCCACAGCCCTCCTGTGGGATTTTAAAGGCCCATTTTCATCTGTATCCACAAATGCTGGTCAAGGGCCCTGTGGGTCACATCTGGTCAGTCGTCTTGAGGCTTTTTTCTATGTGTTTTCTAGATCAAGTGGATGGCTCTTTTGGCATCTGTGTGGTGAAGGATGATACTAAGATCAGCATTGAACCGTGAGTTACAACACACTTAGAACCTAAGGGTCCTTCCCACCAAGGGTACTTTTATCCCCGTCACATTTTTGCAGAACTCCTTCTTCACAGAGAGGTCAGGTCTAACTCCCTGAGAAGTGGGGGTTTCTCCAGATTATGTAGTAGTTCTCCCAATACAGTTGAGCACACAGAGGCAAATGTCTGGGACCTTGGGGTTCAGGCAGAATTGCTAATGGCCCAGTGCCAGGCTGGAGAGTATCTGTGGGGTATGGCTAGACAAATGTGGCCAGGTATCAGCAAGTAACTTCCATGTCCTAGAGAGGCACCCCATACCAGAAATCTGGCCATAAAGGAGCACAGAGGAATGAGGCAGCATCCCTGGAGAGCCTGCACTTGTCTGTCACAGTGATGAAAGGCCACGTGTCCAAGAGATGGCAACAGGTTTCCATAGAGCAGGCTGTGGCTGAGAGGGCACCCAAAGCATTTCTATTCTATTTCCTGTCTTAGTCACCTTTATGTCCATGCATCTGTACATGTGGCCTCGTTTCAGACACATCAACATAGGAAGCCGGTTTCAGGCTGAGATCCCGGAGCTGCAGGAGAGGTTGCTGGCTGGAGTTGATGAGCATGTAGCCTCTCTAGTCTGGAAGCCATGGGGAGATGTGATGACAAATCCAGAGACACAGGACAGAGGTGGCTAATGCTTTGGGGTCATATTCTCAAAGCCCTTCCCCCCAACTCTAGGAGTTTCCCCCTGAGTTCTCCCTGACCAGGAAGTGTGTCCCCTGGGGTAGGGAGGGGAGGACTGGCCTTCAGCGTATATTGCTTCTCTCAGGCAGCATTCTCCCACTTCTGTCACACAAAGTTCCAGGCAGGGCTTCTGCCCTCCCCCCTTGTCACCCTTTTCTCATTCTGTACATGGTGGAGATGTGTGAGGGAGGGAAGGTGACAGGGAGCCCCTCTCGCTGTCCAGGAAGGTGTCCTCCCTGGCACCTGCTGACTCCCTCTTGTCTCCTCTTTCCTGTACTCGTTCCTTTCTCACTTGGAACCACAGTGACTGAGCTCTGCAATGTGGCCTGCTCCAGCGTGATGCCAGGAGGGGGCACCAACCTGGAGCTTGCTCTGCACTGCCTGCATGAAGCCCAGGGCAGCGTTCAGGTGAGTGGGCCAGGGGTCTGGGGGCTCACAGCTAACAAGGCTGAGAGCGTGCTGCAGCCCATCCTCTGCAGGGGCCTTATGTGGTCCTGTGAACTGACCCAGGAGAATGCTTAGCCATGGGCTCAATCCATCAGTTAGTTATTCTCTGAGACAAATCAGGGTCCTGGGGAGGGAGAGCCCAGTGAACTGTATTAATCTGAATTATTTACTGAGCTTACGTTTGCGTGGTGTATAAAAGCCTTTGATGCAACATGAGCACCTCATTCCATGCACCCTTTCCCAACCCTGAGGGTTAGAGAATAAATTAAAAGCATAATAGAAGAGTCGCACTGCCTGTGTTGGAGATGCAGGCAACGAGTGTGCCCCAATCTTGCTTTCTGTCAAGCGGAGAGCCATGCCTGACTCCTGATGGATCCTCAGCAGAGTGATTTGTACATACTCATTGAGTATCCTCTGGGTGCCTGCAGTGTTGTGGGCTTGGGGTCAGTACAGCCCTGGACTCTGTCCATGTTTTGGTGCTCTGCGATTGTTGTCACTGTCTTGAAATTCTTCACACTTTTGGAAAAAAAGTCCCTGCTTTTATTTTGCACTGAACCCCAAAAACTATGGATCTGGTCCTGACTAGTGTTACACAGGTGGTTGAGACAAAATCCTTGCCCTCATGGGCTTTTAAGAGTCAAAATGGGAAATACGTTTTAAAATTTTATTTCGCTAACAGTAAGTACTAGGAGAAAGTACAATGGAGGCAGTGTGCCAGGGTAGTGCTCCTTCAAACACCAGTCATTGATGGGAGTAAGTCTGCACTGTGTCCTTCACTGTGGAAGCCACAGTGGTATGAAAAAAAACAGTGACGCCACCTACACTCAGATTGATGTCATCATGTGCCCACAGACTCTCCACCAATCCAAGCACTGACTGCTTTGAGTAGCCCTGGGATTGGGAGAGACTTTAAGGTTGGCTGTGTTTTTCAAATGAATGAAAGAATGGGAGTGGTCCTCCCATATGTCCCTCACCTCCCTGTCCTGTGTGGCCTGCACCTCCTCTCATTCCAGATTGCCCTGGAGACTCTCCTACTCAGAGGACCACAGAAGCCGCGGACTCACCCACTGGCCGACTATCGCTACACAGGTGATTGGAGCAAGGCTGCTGGGATGCTGGGGCCTGGCTGAGAGCCCTGCCAGCAAGTGAGCTCTGAGAGCAGCTCGGCCTCTGCCTCTTGGCCTTCTCCCCAGGCCTCCACCTGCCTGTCTGTCAGGGCCTGTCCTTCTGGAGTGCCTTTGATAGCACTTCTTTCTGCTTGTTCATCCTTTCCAGTGGTTCCCTGAGGACCCTGCCCACCCGAGGTGGTGATAGTGCTCCTGCAGGAAGATGAGCTTGGGTTCAGTGGTTGAGTACACACAGTCCTGGTGTCAGGCAGCCTTGGTCGCCACATGCTTTTGGCAAACCTCTGAAGCCTCGTTGCCACATCTGTAAACCAGGGAGAGTAATGGAACCACCTTGTATGGTTTTTGTGAAGATGATATGAGACTGGTACATAATTGGTACATGGTAATGGATTTAAGGAGAAGTATGGTCTGCATTTCAGCCATGGAGTCACACGGAGAAATGTCTTCCCCTCTTGGTTGTCTTCTATGATAGGTTCAGACATCTGGACCCCCATGGAGAAGAGGCTCTTTAAGAAGGCATTCTGTGCCCACAAGAAGGACTTTAACCTGATACATAAGATGGTAAGGCAAGTGAGGGCTGGGCAGACCAGGCCTACGCATGCAGCCACAGCAAGCTAGGGCCGTGCCCCTCAGCTGCCTTGGTGACGCTGCTCTCAGACTGTAAAAGGTTGTCATCTCAGAAAGCCAAGCAGTACAGAAATCTGTTCTGTCCTTAAAACAAATCTCCACGCCCCTGACCACTGCCCCACTTCTGATTGATAAGGTTATTAGCTGCACATACTCAAGTACAAGATTTGTAAGTTTTGACATATTTATATGCCCATGAAACTATCACCATAATCAAGATAATGAACATATCCATGACCCCCAAGAGTTTCCTCCTCTCCCTGGCAGTCCACCCCCCATGCCACTTGCTGCCTTTGATAGCCCCTGCTCTGCTTTCTATTACTATAAATATGCTTGCACTTTCTAGAGTTTTATATTAGTGGAATACTCATTTAGTATGTGCTCGGCTTTGTCTAGCTTCTTATATTCAGCATAATTTTTTTGAGTTTCTTCTTTGTTGCATATATTAATAGTTTACCCCTCTTTATTTCTGAATAGTATTCCATTGTATAAGACATTTGTGTGGTTTCCCGTTTGGGGCAGTTATAAATAAAGCAGTTGAAGCTACGTGCGGTGACACACACCTGTAATTCCAGCAGCTTGGGAGGCTGAGGCAGGAGGATCACATGTTCAAAGCCAGCCTCAGCAACTTAGTGAGGTTCTCAGCAACTTAGCGAGACCCTGTCTCAAAATAAAATACAAAAAGGGCTGGGATGTGGCTCAGTGGTTAAGTGTTCCTGGGTTTAGGGTACAAAAACCTGTGGTGAATATTCATGTACAAGTTTACTCTCAGAACTCATTGACCTTTTTTAAAAAAAAAAATTATTTTTTAGTTTTAGGTGGATATAATATCTTTAGTTATTTTTATGTGGGGCTGAGGATCAAACCCAGTGCCTCACATGTGCTAGGTGAGCGCTCTGCCACTGAGCCCCAGTCCCAGCCCTGAGCTGATCTTTGTTGACTAGTACCAGGTCACCATAGTCTTGTATATTTTCACTGGTTTCATTGTTTTGGGTGGGAGGGTAAATCTGGTTCCTGTTTTTCCATCTTGTTCAGAAGCAGAAGTCCAACTTCTGTTTTTGTAACTTGGTGATGTTTCTTAGGCAGAGGATATACTGTTTGACTCCTCTTTTGTGAACACACACAAAGTTGAAACAAATTCTCATGGAGAAAGTATTTTCTGCAGTGATCTCACTAGCCAGTTCAATTTCATGAGACAATTCTCTTTCTAGAGCAATTACATTTTTCTTTCTTTTTCTTTTTTGTGCTAGGGACTGAACCCAGGGCCTCACACATGCTAAGCAACACTATGTCACTGAAATACATCCAGTTCTCCATTCTGCTTTTACAAATTTTTAAAATTGTTTTTAAATATTTTTTAGTTGTAAATGGACACAATATCTTAATTTATTCTTATATGGTGCTGAGGATCAAACCCAGTGCCTCACATGTGCGAGGCAAGCGCTCTACCATTGGGCCACAACCCAGCCCCAGTTTTTAAAAAATTTTTTCCACATCAGAGTTATTTTTAATGGAATCTCTTTTAATAGAGGGAGGATCAAGTGATGATATTAATTGAATGTCCTCCACTCAAGCTATGAACTGAAGACTTGGACCTCCTGTTCTGTGGACCACATTTATGACGAGGTTTCCAAGGCTGTATCTTGCCAGAATGTCTGTGTGGTATTCCACAGAACCAGGGCATTGGTTGAAACTGGTGCCAGTGGTGAACACATGACTGTGGGCATGACATCACAGTGAGTGTCCTCACTTGGGGGTCTTTGTGGGCTGCCTCCTACAGGGAGGGATTCCTGGGCTGGCATTGCTGATTCATGTGTGCCGGACTTAGATGTTGGTAACTATTATGTGGCTTCACCTTGGACTGCTTCATCACCCTGGGAGGGTGCTGTGGCCCTCTACCTTGCAGTGAAGGGGCACGTCAAACCAAGGGGGAGAGCTGGTGTGGAAAGTGTCTGCCAGTGCCAGCTGACAGGGCAGGATCATGCCTGGTCTGTGGGGTGCTGCCCACGGCCCATTTCTGTTCTGTTCCACTAGGTCCAGACAAAGACTGTAGCACAGTGTGTTGAATATTATTACATATGGAAAAAAATGATCAAGTTTGACTGCGGCCGAGCCTCAGGGCTAGAAAAGAGGGTCAAGAGAGAGCTGGAAGAGGTAGAAAGGACAGAAGAAAAGGTAGAGGACCCAGGAGGGAGAGGTCTGGTTTGCAGGCGTACTCCCTTTGCAGCCTGAGCCTGGGGGAGGGACTCCTAGGGAGGTATCTCCCTGCAGAGAACATGTTTGCCTGCCAATCTGTGTCTCCCTTACAGGGGGACAAGGTTAGTGCCTTACATTGTTTTTAACCCCTTTGCAGGTCACTTGCAGCCCTCGGGAGAGACCCAGCCACCGACCAACTCCTGAGTTAAAGATAAAGACCAAGAGCTACAGGAGGGAGTCCATCCTCAATTCCAGCCCAAGTGCAGGCCCCAAACGGACCCCCGAGCCACCAGGGAGCGTGGAGAATCAGGGCGTTTTTCCATGCAGAGAGTGTGAGAGGTACCTGGCCTTTTCCTGGAGATGCTCACAGATGGTCCCTTCCTTGAGTCACCAGCCTCCCTCCCTCCTCTGACTCCTTGTCCTCTGGTAACTCCTCAGGGTGTTCGACAAGATCAAGAGTCGGAATGCCCACATGAAGCGGCACCGCCTTCAGGAGCATGTGGAGCCTGTTGTCAGAGTGAAGTGGCCTGTGAAGCCATTCCCACTAAAGGAGGAAGAAGAGGAAGAGGAGGAGGAGCTGGGGACAGACATTGGCCCCCTGCAGTGGTGACTTCCTGCTGGCAGCTAGTCTGCATGGGGTCTTCAGCCCTGTTCACCTTCCTGGCCTCTCTGGGGTGTTTGGGGCATCCCTCTGCCTCCTCCCACCCTTGCTGCCTCCCATTGGCCAGCTTCGCTAGCAAACTTGGTGGGCATCTGACCATAAACAGGCAGAGAAGCCACGATTGGACAGCTCTGAAGTCTCGTCGACGGGACAGGGGCTCTGTTCTCTTTAGGTTGATCATCTCCCCTTCTTTCAGTCCCAGGTTGCCTAGAGAGCAGGGAGGCTTATAGGCACAAAAGGTCAGATCTGGATAGCTCTTAAATCTTAGCCTCAGTGTTGGGGTTTGTTATATGCTTAGATAAGGCCAAGGTGGGGAAACACCTTAAGATCTCCAACGTTTTGGGTCCCCCTCCGGAGCAGGTCCTTTCTGCATTCCAGAGTCCCTTGTCTCGTGATGACTTGTACATTGTTTAGTGTGTTTTTGTACGTGTCTACTTGTAAATCTTATTAAATTAGGTTCTTGAGCAGCTGTCTTCTGACTTCCAGCCATGGATCCCACAGAGGCTTCTGGGCCACAGCCACCTGTTAGGTCGGAGAGGTGGGCGAGGCTGCTGGAACCTTCCGGGAGGGCCTGGTGAAGTTGGACGTGTCCATCTGTGTGTCAGTCCAGTATGCATTTATTAAGACTTTGCAGTAGGACATGCCAGACAGTTCCCAGTCCTTGAATGGGGATGTGGTGAACAAGAGTGACAAAGCCCTTTTCTTCAGGGAGATTCCATTTTAGGAGCAGGAAGGTAGAAGCAATAAATAAGCAAACAAGGTGATTTTAGATAAGACAGGGAGGGGATATGCTTTGTCCGTAGTAACAGAATGATTTAAGCATCAGGACACTGGTGGCTCTAGTGGCTCAGCTGTGAAATGAAGGACCCCTGGCGGCAGGTGGTGGCAGTACCTCACCTGTAGCAGAGGCCAGAGGGGCAGGAAAGAGCAGGGCCTCTTTTCCTGTGTTTCCCAAGGGAAACCTGCAGTGCTTTCCAGCAGACTACCCCTTACACCTCATTGGCCAGGACTGTGGCCTGTGCTGAGTTCTAAACTGGTCCCTGACAGAGGGAAGGAAAATGACCACAGTCGTCTTGAACATTCAAGAGCTATCTCCAGGACAGGGTAAAACTCTGTTCCCTGAAGCTTGTTGCCACCTGAACAAAACTTGAATCCTGTTAGCCAAGAAAAGAAGACAAAACAAGTGGCCACTGGGTAGAGCAGACCACTGTGTCAGCTACAAAATAACATGAAGAAAATGATGGTGCAGATGTTAAGTGGGCACATGGGGAGGTTGAGATCTGGATCCCAGGCCATAGCATAGACGGGAGACCAAGCATAGACTCTGCCATGGGAAACTAGCAGAGGGTGTTAGGCCAGGAAATGGCATCTCAGGTGCCACTACAAACAACTGCATAGCTGAGCATGGTGGCACATTGTAATACCAGTGACCTGGGAGGCTGACACCAAAGGATTGCAAATTTGAGACCAGTTTGAGTAACTTAGAGGGACCCTGTCTCAAAAAATAAGTAACTGGGGTGTAGCTCAGTGGTAAAGCATCCCGGTACAATCCCAGAAACAAAAAATAGAAAAAAGAACACCAACAACGAAGTTGTTTTTGTGTGGTGATTGTAGAGGGTGAGACCGGAAGTTCCCAGAGTAGACTCAAAAGTAAGATGATGGTGGCCTGGGCTGGCAAAGAGGGCCAGAGGCTTGGGGATGAGGCATACATTTTAGAAGTGGAGTCCATGGGCTTGTTAGTTTGTCACACAACAGGGGGAAGGGTAAGGAAAAGATCAAGGTCAGCATGGTAGGTTTGGGGTGAGCAGCTGAGGCAATGCAGTTAACTCCAATGGGAAAGAGTAAGGGAGAGGATTGATTGAATCCTGGCAGGAAGATGTTTGCACTAGTGTCTTCTGTGTCCTGAGTAATGGCAGGGCAAGCACAGTAGGGGTAGTGTCAGATGGTCTCACAGAGGGGCCTTTTTTGAAGCAGTCGGAATACTTTTGTTAAAGGAAAGAGTTCAGGCCTCCAATGAACCTGAATTTGCACCCTGGCTCCTCTTCTGTCATTGTGACCTAGGGCAAGTCACTTTCCTGCTTTAGCTTCAGTTTTCTCTATTTGTAAAATGGGAGGAAGAGTCAGGCACCATGGTGCAGGCCTGTAATCCCAGCAACTCAGTAAGTTGAGGCAGAAGGATTATAAATTCAAGGCCAGCCTCTCTGACCTAGCAAGAGCCTCCAAACTTAAGTGAGGCCCTGTCTCAAAAAAAAAAAGTGACTAGGGATATAGTTTAGTGGTAAAGTGCCCTTAGTTCAATCCCCAGTATTACAATAATAATGATGATGATGATGGGTGTGGAGAGTGCCTCCCACCATGTATCAGTTAAGTGAGAAAATGTAAAATGTAAAGTCCCTGGCAGATGCACCTATGACCTCTATCTACTACTATTTAATGTGCATTCTATTCTGATAATGTTTGGATCTAACAAATGACTAAATTCAATGACTCTGAAAAAGAAAAACTGGCTTAAAGGGTTAGAATGAGTTCATTATCTTTTGCTGCTGAACAAATTACCCTGAAATTTAGCAGTTTAAAACAAATGGAAGCTTTGATGTTAGTGTTGCCTTGACAGGGAAAGAACTGAAACTGCTGTGGTAATCCAGACCAGCCCCGCCTGCTCTGTGGTCAGAACCCAGTGGTGACCACACAAGGGAGTGGTTCAGGGGAGCCTAAGGAGGAAGGGAGCGGGACCGAAGTTTCTTTTGCTACCCTACCCAGCCAACACCCCACCCAGATAACAGTGTTTGCTTAAATTTTGGGCCCTGAATTTTCTGCCTCCTAATCTGCTGGGGTTCTATAAAGGGGAAAAAAAATACAGATTCCTGTGCTCTGCACTTTCAGAACTGGAATTGAGGGTAGGTGCCTGGAACCCGATTTTATATAAACAAGGCTTTTAGAGGGGGCTGTTGTTTCCATGGTACAACACTTGCCTAGCATGTGCAAGACTCTGGGTTCAATCCCCAGCACTACAAAAAAAAAAAAAAAAAAAAAACATTTAGAATAGTTTAAAATGTATGAAAAATTGGCAAATATAGTACCAAAGAAATTCTCCTATATACCACACCTGGTTTCCCCTATTTTTAACATCTTAAATTAGTATGGTTCACTTATTACAATCAATGAACCAATATCAATCCAATATTATTAACAACAGTCCATTATTTATTTCAATTTGCTTTGTTTTTACCAATGTCCTTCTAGGCGAAGATTTCACTCAGTTTACCATGTTACATTTAGCAGTCTGTCCTCAGGCTCCTATTGGCTGTAACAGTTTCTCAGATTTCCCTTGTTTTGATGACTTGACAGTTTGGAGGAGTAGGGGTCAAGAGTTTCTGGAAAATGTGCCTCGATTGGTATTTATGTGTTTTTCCTCATGATTAGACCTGGAGAAAGACCACAGAAATGGTGTTTTAATCACGTTACTAAGGGTCCATATTATCAACACGACATCATTTTTTATGTTAATCTCAACTGCCCAGTGGACAATGTCAGGTTTCTCCATTGTGAACTTAAGCCTTCCTGCTCGAACCCACTTCCCACGCTGTTTTGTCTGGAAAGACGTCATAGGCACGTCCACATTCCAATGTTGGGAATTAAGGTTGGGGAATCATGCTCCAACTTCTTGAGGGCAGGGTATCTACAAAGAATATTTGGAATTCTTCTGAACAGGCTGCCTGTCTCTTCTCCCCATTTATTTTCGCAGTATATAGTTGTTCATTTATATTAGCGGTGGGCTCCTCATGAATATTCTATGCTTTTGAGTTATAATCCAATACTACTTTGTTACTCAAATCGTTCCAGGTTGAACACTGGCATCTATTTTCATGACTCCTGGTTCTCCTAGACAAACACATTATTTGGTGTGTTTGTGTACTTCCTTTCTGGCATTGTGAAATGTACTTGGTTCATCTTGTAAAATTTCCTGCTCAGTCCTAGAACCAGCCATTTCTCCTAGGTACCCTGGTTTCTTTTATGGAGAGTTTTAAAAACCTAAAATCTGGGTACTATGTGTGCTGGAACTGAATTCTTAACACGCTCTCTTCAGCTGTTTTTTTAAGAAACTAGGGTTTGAGAACCTCTGTGTTTTTGTTGTTTTTTTCTTTCCTGTTTGTCAAGCACTTCTCTGGTGCCAGTTACAGCACCGGTCGACAGAGGGCGCAAGAAGTAAAACAGTTTCCTTTTTATGACAAAAGGCCCTCCAAATAAAGAATGACGTGATATAAAGCGCGGAGAAATGACTAGACTGCGCAAAGGAACTGTCAAGCCGGGTGTGGGCCAACATGGATCACATGGGCTTCAGCAGTCAGCTGACTAGCGCACAGGTTGCGCAGGGAGGGGAGCGTCGCACTGAGGGCTGCCGCTGATTGGTGGAGGAGGATGAACACTAGTACCTTGGGGGGTGGGTCTTAAGCAGTGGGGACTACGATTGGCTTTTGGAAAGTCACGTGTAGGTGTCCGACCAAGCTAGCCCTACGCGGGTATATGCGCTTGCTTTGAGGTCTCAGGGCGTGGATTGGATGTCGTGAGTCACGGGAAGTCGTGCGGCGACTGGCGGGGGCGTGGCCGGTGGAGCTCGCGCCGCGCTGCGAGAGTGCTGATTGGCGGGCGCGAGTCACTTGGCTCCGGGCCTCAGGCGGCGGGCGCCGGTGCGACGTCAACGCAGCCCGCTAAGCTCCCTCGGCCGGTGTATCGGGGCTCAGCGGTGGCGGAGTCCTCCCAGGTCCCGGGTCCGGAGGTTTGCTGAGAACCTTTGTGGCCGTCATGGATAACTCCGGGAAGGAAGCGGAGGCCATGGCGCTGTTGGCCGAGGCGGAGCGCAAAGTGAAGAACTCGCAGTCCTTCTTCTCCGGTCTCTTTGGGTAAGAACCCTGAGGGCGAGGGGTGGGCCTGGACCTAGGCCGAGAAGGCGAAGGGTCGTGGTCTGAGGTGGCGGGGTAGATCCCAAGGGGCAGAGGGGATTCCGCGTGGTGACGCGGCCCGAAGTTACAGGGGACACGGACTGAGGGACCCGGGCCGTGGCTACACGGTTCGAGGAGAAAAAGTCTGAGATGGTGGAAGAGACCTGGAATGAGGTCGCACAGGCCGAGGCGACGTCATCTTGAGTTGGGGAAGGGGACTCGAGCTGAAGACTGGCCGAGGGCCAGAGGAGAACTGGGCAAGGGAAATACGGCCTGAGGCCTTGGGGGGCACCTGCCCCAGAGCCGGAGAGCAGCCGGCTTCCGCAGCCTTTAGAGCTCCTGGGGAGTCTGTCTGAAGGGTCCTGGACCCGGGACACCTGCCGGAGGGACCGACCTTTCCGCAGCCGGTGGCAATGGGTTTGTGTGGATCCTGGGTGATGGGCGTGAGGGCTCAAGATATCTGACACCCGGCAGAGGGGTCAGGAGTAAGGTTATCCTGGGAGTGAAATGGGTGTGCCCAGGTGGCTGGGTGAGTGTGGCC